GAGAGAGGTTTCCACAGCCTTGTAAGAAATGCATTGTTCCCCTCTCCAACCGACGTGGGATCTCACAATCCTCCCTCCTTAAGGGCCCAGCGTCCTCACTGACACACCTAGAGGCACTTGTGAGATCCCATATCGGTTGGAGAGGGAAACGATGCATTCTTTATAAGGCTATGGAAAGCTTTTCCTACCAGACGCGTTTCAAAACCTTGAGGAGCCGTGGGCTTGGGTTGTTACTTATAATTATATAGCTAGTTATGCAAATATATTCAACGAACATTACATCGTCCCGGAGTTTTATAACCAGTAACGAAACAGAACATAAACCTAAGGATTATTCTGATATAACCTGAATTTAGTACAATGATATCTGCTCGGGTTTCTCACGCACATGTGAGAACAAAGCAAACAAGAAAAGATTGGTGCTTCTAGCAACAACCTATCTATATAATAAAAAACTTCCATTGATTATATCAACAAAACAAGGTTTACATCAGTGGTGGTCAATGATAATCAAATTAGGCAAAATTTCGTGACATTCTCATAGTTTGATGTTTTCTCTTGATAATTGCTTCGATTTGTTGCAGAAAACAAGAAATTCATTTTCTTTTGTTTTTCAAGATTGAAACATTGAGAACTGACAAACAAGGAATAATTACCATACAGATATGTTTATCAAAACTAAAAAACAAAAAATGGAAAAGTGGGAAATCTCACGTCGGTTTGAGATGGGAACAAAACATTCCTCGTAAGCATGTGGAAACCAGTCCCTAGTAGACGCGTTTTAAAAACCTTGTGGTGAAACCCGAGGCCCTTAAGGAGGGTGGATTGTGAGATCCCACATTGGTTGAAGAAGGGAACGAAATATTCCTTATAAGGGTGTGGAAACCTCTCCTTAGTAGAGGTGTTTTAAAAACCTTGAGGGAAAGCTCGAGGCCCTAAAGGGGGTGGATTGTGAGATCCCATATTGGGTGGAGAGGAGAACAAAGCATTCATTACAAGGGTGTAGAAACCTTTACTTGGTAGACGCGTTTTAAAAACCTTGAGGGAAGCCCGAGGCCCCTAAGGAGGGTGGATTGTGAGATCCCACATCAGTTGAAAAAGGGAACAAAACATTCCTTATAAGAGTGTGGAAACCTCTCTTAATAGAGGCGTTTTAAAAGACCTGGAGGTGAAGCTCGAAACATGCTAGGTTCAATATAAGACAATATCTGCTAACTAACTGTAGGCTTCGACAAAAGTTAACATATGACCTCTAAGCTTCTTTTCCACAAGTGACAAGCTAAATGGCCACGCATACATCCACCAAATATTTCAAAGCTAATCCTATAGAATGAGTTGAAGTTCAATTCAAAGAACAATGACTCTAACCATGGGATTAAAGGTAAAAGTTCAGATCAGTCCGCAATCATAATGCTTTTGAGCAGAGTAACAAGGAAAAGACAGACAAAGACAGAATATATACTTTAGCTTCACAATTCCAAAGGCCAAAATAGTTCAATACAATTCATATAACAGGAAAAACATTAAGAAAAAGCAAGCAAAGCATGTTTGAACAATATCAAAGCAAGGAACAAGGTCTCATTTGGCAGAACAGAGCAATTCAATAAGTAGTTTCAAAGCTCAATGAAAAGGAAGATCGTTCTAAATTCAGCAAAAGTAAACAAACAATCTCTTGGCTCAAGAATATGAGAAAATGAAGAACAGAAAAACGAAACCTAGATCAGAACAATCATCATATGATACAATAAAAGCAATTCAAGATCAAAAGCAGCACAAAATCACAGACCAACAAATCAAGAAACATGAAAGAACAGAAAAAAAAAAAAAAAAAAAAAAAAAAAATTCCAATTAAACTTTTATAAGACATCATTTTCATTATATATATATATATATATATATATATATATATATATATATATAT